CACACCGCACAGCACTCGCCTCTGTGTTCTAATAATCTGAGTTTGTTGAAATATAACGTGGCCCAAGCAGTGAAGGAAGAACTGTAACTTCAGGGTGCCTCTTTCGAGGAAAAGTGAAATTTGTAATGTAAGTTTCCACTCAACAAATCTGGAACACAGATGATAAGTGATAGTTGTAACAAAAAATAAAGTAACTATTGTCATGCTTGCTCTGTGCCAGGCACTTAATCCTGAGCACAGGCGTAGGGCCGAGGCCGGACAGGGTCGGACAGGGTCGCGGAGACCAGTGTGGTCGAGTCATCTGCACACACCTTGGGCCAGAGAGCAGGAGTCAGGCAGCCTCTGACCCTGCGCTGCTGAGCAGAGCAGACCCCGCCCTCTGCTCCCCCCAATCAAGCCTCTCTGGCAGAGCACGTGACCTGCCCACGTGTGCGCCAGCTGCGTGAAGCTGATTGACTGTGGTAAATTGAGAGAGGCCACACCTGTGCTGGAGTGTTCCGGGGCTTTATTTGTGTTTATTTCCCTTTGGTCAGTAATCTTCATCATTTGATAACAAGTGTCTGCTCTGTGGAATATGTTTAGTGGAATCAAACTTGAACTCAGAATGAGAACTAATTACATTCAGCTGCAATTACAAATTAAGCCAGGCAGCCTGGTGTGCACCTGGGGACGCTCATTTACATATCAATAGTGTCTGGGAGAGATCAGACTTGCAGGCCCTGTCTAATGGTGTCAGGGAGTCGCCCTCACTTCCAGGGGCCAGGAGCTTGCTCTCCACAACCTATGCATCCCCAGACAGCCCCCAGCCCAGTGGTGAGAGCCTCCCTTCTGGGGCCAGACAGCCTGAGTTTGGATCCCAAGTTCACTGCATGTAGGATTCACTTTCCCTTAGGCAACTTACTTAACCGCTGTGTACCTCAGTATCTGCCGAGGTAATGGGCTGGGCTACAGGATCAAGTGAGTTCATATCTGGTGCAAGCATTTGGCCACCGTAAGCCCTGTGTAAATGCCAAATGAAAAAATGGACGATAGCCTCACTACACCAACTGTATTTGTAAGAAGGGAGGTTCGTAAGTCGCCCTTCTTCATTGGCTAGTAAATCCTGGAGCGGGCCTTCGGCTTTGAAGTTGATGCTGAAAACATCTCAGTGAAGTTGTGCCTCACATGTGCCTTATGAAGGAATTTTGTTTTCCTCCTGGTATTTTTAGCTCGCACCCTGGAGCTGTTCCACCTCTACCAAACTGAGTTCTAATAACACAGCACCTTCCTCCTGCGGTAGTTAAGCACATAAATATTTGGCAAAGGAAAGGAAACCAGGGGAAGGAATAGGAAGAGGAGATCTGGGAGGGGCAGGAGCCAGCATTGGGGGACCCTCCGTGTGCCACCTCAGAGCTGGGGTGGGGTCATTACCCAGGAACAGGCAGGCTGATGCCAGCCCGTGTCGGGGCTGCCCTGGTCTGGGGACAGCTTGCTTTGACCCCATGCTACCCGGCCCAGAATACCAGATGCTTCCATGAATTTCCTTGTCAACCTTGATGGTCTTTTCTATGTCCTCCCGACTTCTGTTCTTCCCTGAGAATCAGAACTAGTGCTGTGTGGACTTTTAGAGATAAAAGGGATGAAAGAAATTAGACTTAAGGTGAGGACACTGAAGTGCAAGTTCCACAGCTCCTTCTGAAACAGCCAAGACAGGACTGTGGGGGAGGGGCACCATCAGAAGGACCATGGCCGAGAGAGCACAGGTCACTGTGGGTTCTTGCCCAGCACAGTGGCAGGGCCAGGGAACAACAATGGAGTGTATTTAGTGGGGGGAGCAAAGAATTTAAGGCCACAGCTCGCCAGTCAGCTCACTCCAGGTAGTAGCCACAGTGTCTAGCAGTCTAAATAAAAGGCCACTCGTCCACAGTGGGGCCGCCCTGTCAATGAGGGCCTGGAGCCACGGCAGCCGCCCAGCAGCAGGCTGGCATCCAGTTCACTGCAGCTGGAGCCTGCCCACAGGTGGAGCTGCTGAGGTGACTGCAGCCCGGCCATAGTGAAGGTCAGGATGGACAGCCGGACCCTGGCTAGGCAGCAGCGGAAGCAGCGACACTGGGAGGCGGTGCCTGATGATCCCGAGTTAACGGCTTTCAAAAATGATCCGGACATAGTGCTGGTCACGCGTCAGCTGGGCAGCACTGGCCAGTCGTGCCGGTCACCACTTGTCACTAGGCAGTCGTGTCAGAAACGCCAGCGTCAGCAGCCCTCGGTGCGCTGACAGCCACACTGCCCCAACAAGCCGCTCTGTGGGACCCCGGCCAGGGCCAGGGCGCTCTTTCCTGGCGAGGTCAGAGGCAAGGCCAAGGGCACCAGTCCCCAGCCTCTGGGGAGTTTTCTGGCTTCTCGCATGGGGGGGGGGGCGCGGGAGCAACTTGGGGACACAGCACATCAGAGCCCCCACCAGCGGCTCCTGCTCTATGTCCTCTTTCCGTCCCACCTGCGAGTCTCATTGGGCCGTTTTCAGTCCTATGGCTGACTGGACCGATTGCCAAGCAGCTCACAGTTCGCACCTGCGTGGGCCCCTCCGTGATCCAGGCACCAGATCCATGGGCTTCTCTACCACCGGCAGCTGGAGGCAGTACAGGCTGAAGCTGGCACAGTGGGGCCCCACTCCGGGCTGCCCTCCCTGCAGCAGTGGGGTCAGGGAGCCCCTGCGCTCTCCTGCAGCCTGAGCCCCAGCAGATGGCTAGTGTGAAATGCCCAGCACGCGCTGCTCCTGCACGGCCCACAAGCAGAAACCGCTCTTCGGGGCCTCCGGGGCTGGCTTCCGTTCAAGACTCAGGGTGAGAAGCTGTAGTCCTGGTGTCTCACCCAGCTGTATCACTCACCCCTGGAGGTTCTGCTTTATCACGTCTGGCATGAGATACAAGAATCTGCGTTTTTAAACAAGTATCTTGTTGATGCAGATGCAGGGAGCCCGAGGACTCTGAGAACAACCTGTCTGTTAATAACTCAGCATCCAATCCGGGAACAGCAACGGAGGCCACCAGCCTTCTATTTCATTGACCATGTTGGAGCAACCGGCTAGCCATTGGACAAAGCAGATGATCTGTGGCTCATACTACAAATAAAACGGAACTCCAAGTAGACTGGAGATCTAAATCAACTGTTCAATTTTCGAAGCCAGAGAAGAATGTATGGCTCAATCCCTCCTGACAGTCTGGAGATAGAAGACGCTCTCTGACCAAAAGCCCATGTGCCATAGAAGAAAGTGTTGATAAAATTGACTATTGAGAAATAAGACACAAAATTTTGCATATCAGCAAGTCAAAAAACAAATCAAGGGTTGTGATAAAATGTAATGTCTGCTCTAAGAAATGCATGTTTAATAAAATACACCAAGACCAAAAACGGGCAGAAAGCACGAGAAAGACTGTTCACACACAGAGGAGTGATCGTCAGCTTTTGCCATTAAAAGTGAAAATGCCATTTCTCATCAGAGTGTCAAAAGTGACAGAAAAGTGTGTTTTGGAGAATGTGGGCAGTCACGCTCATCATCGCTGGTGGCAAATGCAAAATGGTGCCACCGTGGAAGGGGTATTGGACAGCAATAAAATGACATCTGCATTTACTATTCACCCAGTATGTCCACTTCTAGAAACTTGCCTGCAGACACTGCTTGACAGTACTATAGTATATAGGCCCAGGTTGGCTTGTTGATTGTGGTATGACAGGTAACGCTTCCACAGGTCCCATATACATTGTTCTCCTAATGAGATCTGCTTCTAAGGGATACCAGGTAGGGAATTCAGCAGCTCTTACTACTACAGGTTTATGTAAAATTAAAATATAGCATACAACAAGTTTTAATACTGTCTAAAACATTTTGTTTAAGAAAATCAAGTTTTAGCACATAACATGAATAAGTGACAATCCAAGTATTAAGAGCATTTTTCTTGCAGAAATGATAAAAGTCATGAATGGATTCATTGGAAGGCCCTCAAAAATCTACTAAATTCCTAGTGCTTTTTCTTTGGGAAAATTTATTTGGAGCCTAAACTTCCAACAACAGTAATAGTGGGTTGTTGGAAAGTCATAATAAATTTTCTCTGCCTCTCAAGCCAAAATTCCTCATGGCTTTTCCGACAATCTAACAGATTTCGATCGCCTCCTGCCTCCTCCCATGCAGTTCATAAATGGGCTGTTTTTGTCTTTGTAGCCAAGGCCACAAGAGCTATCGGGAAGTCAAGGGCCTTTCTATGAGGGAGGAGCCATCTGGCAACCTGGCAGGAAGCTAAGTTCTAGCTCTTTGAGGCTGTTTGTCTGTCCTTCCCAGGTGTTACCATTGTATTACAGTGTTTCTTCCTTTGCATGTTAGCCATGACCAGGATAACTGGGAAGTGGGTAAGTACATTAAAATTCTTAGAGGGAAAGATGTTTGCATGACATGAAGTCTGTACCATAAACATCCTGCTTTGTCCTAATGTCCTTGGAATTTGGATTTTACACTGTTTACTGTGTGTACCCACTCTACTTACTATGCTTTCATTTTGAAGTAGGTTAATGTGTCGATTTAAAAGAGTTGTGAATGATTCATGTCACTCATAAATACTGTCAACTCCTGCGTGTAAAATTTTAACCATCCAGGGTTCTATGGTGAGATCGTCAATATTGATACATGTTTTTTAATGGTGCTTTGGATTTTAGTGAAAGAAAAATTCAGAATGGGGAAACCATTTTTAAATTCAAAGAAGGTATTTTGCAAACTTACCTGGAGCGGTTTGTTGATGCCACATGTCTTTGGCATCAGTCATCAAGGCTTCTAAGGAAGCCAGCTCATTTCTGCATTTGCACATAAGTAAAGATGGCTTGGATTACATTTGAAAGATGCTTTTGAGTTGGCTGCAGGCAGGGTCCTGATAGTTTGTTGTTGCTTACAGATTATGTTCAACTTCATTGTGATGTGATAACAGATGTTTTATTTTTCTCATTTTTGTCTTGTTTTTCTTTCTCTTTTTTTCCAGTTCTTCCTCCAGTGCTGGTTCCAAGACACAGTGAATATAACCCTCAGCATAGCCTCTTAGCTCAGTTCCGTAACCTAGGACAAAACGAGCCACACATGCCACTCAACGCCACTTTTCCGGATTCTTTCCAGCAACCCAACAGCCATCCGTTTCCTCATTCTCCCAACAGCAGTTACCCGAACTCTCCGGGGAGCAGCAGCAGCACCTACCCTCACTCTCCCACCAGCTCGGACCCAGGAAGCCCTTTCCAGATGCCAGGTAGGTTGGCTTGTTCAGGGACGTTCTGTGTTCAGAAATTGTCACCTCAGGGTTCAGGAGCAGCTGGGTCACAGGAGGTCCTCGGGTGCCATCACCTTGTGCGGTGTCATCTCATTATAACTTTGATGAGGATGAAAGAATCCCAGCCAACTTGACTAAAATGATGGTGTCTGAGGACTTGCTTCTGTTAACACTTTTAAGTCTTTTCACTTAAAATGGTAGTTTCTAAGAACCTATCAGAGACACTAAGTGAGGACTCTGGCTGGTGAGGAGGGTCTTTGCAACCTGGGTAAATGGCAGTGTGTTCTGGTACAGGCGGTGGGGGGCGGGTGTGGTGGGGGCGGGGTTGGGTGAAAGTTAGCTCAGGACAGGTGTTTGAATGTTTTATTTTGAAAGGTTTTGAAACAATGGCCTTTTTGAATATGGCATATCTGTTACAACCTTTGCTTTTGTTAAAAGAGAAAGAAAAATAGCATGAGCAACCCCAGAAGTGGTAGTTCCTGAGGGATCCCCCTCCCCCCCACACACACACAATTAAATTCCTTCAAGTGGTGATGTAATTCCAAGAAACATAGACTTTGCCAAAGTAGCTACAACCCAAGTACTGGAAATGGTCTGCTCCTTTAACTGAGTAAAGACCCCCTCCCCCAAAAAAGCCAAACCAATTATCTTCCTTATTTAGATTTGATTGATGATGTAATATTTAGCAAAATAAATGATTTAGGACATTATATTTTTCAGATGATGGGTTAATAAGCAAGCAACTCAGAAAAAAATTGATTTGTGCCATATTCTTGCCAGTAGACCTCAAGGAGGATACTCGAAACGAAGATCTATTTGACATCTATTAAGATTTCAAGAAGGGGAAATGCCTGGCCACCCATGTTCATTGGCTGCTTGGGAAGTTTTTAAGAATTCCAATTCAACAGCAGTGCCGGTCGGTCCTCCACACCCGAAAAGTGCTGAACCCCGACACTGCTGGCTTTATGGTAGCCTGTTCACTGGCACTCTGTGGCTTGTTTTTCAATATAAAAACTGTTTCGGGTGAGAGTAGGTGATGGTTTGCTTTAAAAATTAAACTGGGCCCCTGGTCCCCGACTGCCTGCTCCCCTCCACCGCGCCAGCCCTGCACACCCACTGGCTTCGGAAACGGTCAGTGGTGAGATGTGTGTGAGCAGCAGCAGACCTGGGGTGGCGCCATGTGTAAGCAAATGAAGGCGCTGGCTCGGATTTCCACACAGGGGAGGCACGGCCCAGTAAGGACAGGGAGAAAAGAGGGCATTGCCGGGGTGCTGGAGGCGCGTGGGGCGGGCGGTCTCTCCTGGGGGTGCTCATGCCCAGGGACTGCTCACCGGCTTGTCTGGGGAAATGCACGGGATTGGGGGGCCTCAGAGTCTCTTCGTCTGCTCTCCTGGCTAGAAGTGAGGCAGCTCCAGCAGCACAGCTGCAGGCGAGCAGAATTCAAAGGAGCTGGAATGGGGCGCAAAGCACCCAGCCCAGGCTCCAAGCTCCGGCCTGTGTCTGTGCTGCAGGGCGGCAGCTGGAGGGTGACTGCCGTGGGTCAGCCCGGAAGCTGGCTGCTCAGGTCGCCCTGGCTTCCCCAGGTTACCCCTGGTGCCTTGGGGTCAGACTCGGTCCCTGTCTGGCCTGCTCTGGGTCCCTGTGTGCTCCATGGGCTCGTGTGAGGAGTTTGATTTTCTGACTGTTGTGGGAAACCCTTTCCTCTCTTCAAGACTCCACGAGATTTGTGCTGCTGCTCTTTGTTTCAGAAACCATTATTGTTGGCCTCCTGCTGGCCAGCTGGCTATGTGCTTACAAGAAGAAACATACATGCAACTTCTGAAACAGAAGATAGCCGTGATAAACAGATTTATTTCCTCCTATTATCAGGGACTTTCAAACTAGCAGTCTTAGGTGGGGAGGGAGGAGGCAGCCCTGACAGGTTGCTTAAAGTCCATAACGAAATGCAGGTGATAAATTCCTGGGAAACCATCAGTTCAGTGCAAGAGACCGTGAAGCTTAGTTTGAGATTTGTGTTTTGAAGAAGTCTGTGGTAGCTTCCAGAAGTGATCCACCCACCAGGGAAACTGAAGAGCAGAGGTTCTCTCATGGTGCATTACATGAAAGTCTGCTCAAGTGCGTGACTGTTTAAGAAGGCGCAGCCCCAGACTGGAGGCCACTTCCGGAAGTGGCCTCCCGTGCTCCTCCCCGGAGTCGTCACTAAAATGGTCCAAGGGTATGAAACGGTAGTAACTTCCAGAAACGCACCATCAAATCCAGTGCCCAGGGGCATCCAGTCTTCTGATGGGGCTAGCGGGGGTGAAATTCCCTTAAGAATTTCAGCTCAGAGAATATATGTTTTTTAGGTGTAATTATTTCTCCAGGATGAATTTTATTATTATTATTATTTTTTTTTTTTGCTCTGTAGCCGATACGCCCCCACCTGCTTACCTGCCCCCTGAAGACTCCATGACCCAGGACGGCTCTCAGCCGATGGACACAACCATGATGGCACCTTCGCTGCCCTCAGAAATCAACAGAGGAGGTAAAATGAGTTGTTGCTCCTCCCTTTGCAGAGTCTAAATTTTATCTGCCAGAATGTTACTTTCTCTCACAAATTCTGTAAAATGATAGCTGTTTGAGAAAGACTACAGTTAAGAGGAGCTTGACTGAATTTTTTGGATAATAAGTTGTTTATAGGGGGGAAACACCCTGATTTAACTGGTGAGGAGCTCAGTGTCATTGTGCAGTCATCTCTTAGGAGCAAAAAGACTTAGTCAGTTTGAACTGGTGATGAGTATATTTGTGAGTAAGAAGGCCAGAGGGGTGTTGAGAAACAGCGAGGATAATGATACCGAAGGATTTTCACCGGTGATTTCCGGCATCGCGAGTGTACACAGCCGAGGCTTCCGAACGGCCCCTGTATTTAGGGTAATTAGTCATGAGCCCTCCTTTTCGCGTTCTCCTCCACAGAGAGCTGCACCAGACAGTGGTGTTTCTCTCTTTCTTGCCTATTGTTTGTTTCTAGGCTTGTGATCAGAAGGAACCAGGGCATGTGTTTCTTCTCTTCAGAAGATTCCCAGAAGGACGTAGTGCAAGACTGAGCGTTTCTTCCCCGTGTCGTGGAGGGTGGGTCTCTGTTCAGGCCATGTTGTTGCCCGCGCTGGGGCGGGATCTGTCTCCTTCCCGGTCTGTAGAGGCTTGTCAAGTCGGCTTAAGCGAGCATCAGCTCTGTGGACAGGAAGCCACACTGTTGACAAAACTGCTTCCAACTCACCTCTCCCCGAGGAGAGCTCTTTGCCCCTCAGCTCCTGGCTCAGATAATTCCATGTGTTTAAAATATTATGTGAATTAGAGTAATTTATTGGGATGCTCAATAGTCTTATTCATTTGGTCACTTTTTACATGAAAATCGGAGATAACGCTGACTGGGAGAGTCATGTCTATTTTTTAAGTTCTTAAAATGTGCTGGCGAGCTCAAAGAACCATTCTTACATGAGCATTGTAATAAATTGAAACATCCCTTGCTTCATCTGTAAAAACATGTTGTGTCTTTCTTATTGGCCCTGCGTTTCATGGTTCTTGATCATTTCTAGAACATTCTCTCCAACGTTGTTATGAGCCAATAAGTCAAGAATTTGCTTGGGGGAAAAAACTCCGATCTCATAGAGATTTTGAGTTTGGGAGTGGAGGGGTAGGAGAGAAGGGGCCCAGAATGACGACACAGCACTCTGACCCCACAACTGTTGTTCAGCCCAAATGTCTCAGCTCAAGAAACAGACCTTCAAATTGTTTAAACATTTTTCTTTTAAATACCTTTTAAAAATATTCCCCACTGGAGTAAGTTTACAGTCAGTTCATATTTTCATGAGAAAGGAATGTTGACCTTTCTGTTGTTGCCTTACCTCTGGTGATTCTCCTGAAGCAGAGGTCAACCGACTGGAGCCCCAGACCATTTCACCTTGTTTTTGTAAATACAGCTTTATCGGAACCAGCTAGCTCACTCCTCACACACCCTCTCTAGCTGCTTTTGCGCTAATCGGGCAGGGCTGAATAATTGCAGTGGAGACCAGAGAACCCACAAAACCTTCCTGGCCTTTTACAGGAAAAAATGGTCAACCTCTCACCTCCACAAATAGTGTTTTGAACAATCCTGATAGCTGTTAAAAACCTTCTATCGATGATGTTGCAGCTTCATTTTGGCACTTGTAAACCACTAAAAGTTTGGTCCTTGAAATACAGCGATTGACCTCAGAGAGTGGGTTGGTAAAAAGGAGAAGTATGTCTGAATTTCTTTGCCCTACTCGCTGAAATAGATAAAGCATTACTATAGGAGTGGATTTTTCAAATAATCCTTCCCCTTGTTTTCTCTACCAAAATCTAAAGCAAAGCACTTTTGTGAAAGTTGATCAAGGGAAGGGCACAGCGGGGCTTATCCCTTCTCAGTCCCATGCTCCTTGTGGGTGTTTTTTTCTCACTTCCTTTCCCCCCGACTAATTGTGCACTCAAGACGGCATGCACCTCTGATCGCTACGTACTGGCCTGTGAGCGTATAAGGTTTGCACTCCTGGGATCTCTCACCCAGTGGCATCTACAAAAGGAACTTATCTTTGAAAGCTTTTCGTTGCAAATGTTTAGAAGCATGTTCTGTTTGGAGATTTGTTAGTCTTAAGAGATTTGACTTAACAAGCTGCATCCTGTCAGTGAAGTTGGGTAATTTCCATTGTTGGCCCATTCTGGGAATGGAGAGACAAAACACACCTGCTCTACATGACATAAAGCAAATAGAAGGAAGTTAGCATGAAATCTGGATGAGAGAGATATGATTCATTCTGCAGGAATGGCCAGCTGGCAAGATCTCTCCCCACGTCTGAGGACTGCGGCACAGTTGGAGCTATGGTGGTTATTAGCAATGTGACGTGAAGTCAAGTCACTTCTTATCGATCAGTAGAAACTGACTTCCACTGCTTGGAAAAGCCTAGGCTTTGTGGAAAGTCACTCCTCTCCATGCCAACACCTTTGGCAAATTTCCTAATCTCTCTTGTTCTCTTCCCACTTTTTTTCTCTTTTTCCATTTGGCATTTGTTGTGTTTCTTTAGATGGCGAGCCAGGGTCTGAGGCGGGGTGATTGCCTTTGGGCGGCTCACAGAGCAGAGAGCACAGCGTTAGAGCCCAGCAGCTGCGGTGAGACCCTGCTCACTGGCGTTGGGGTTATCTGCTGGCAGCCCAGGGAAATGATTTCCCAGTGAAAAGAGGATGTCGCACCTGGTCGACATTCTCTGCACTCTTAAAAACTCCATCCATTAGCGTAGCAGTTGCTTCACTGTCTCTTCACGCCTTGATCCTGAGCCAAGTTTACAGCACGGTCAGTTTCAGTTTTTGAGAGCCCAAGGTAGCGGCCACGGTTGACTGTAAGCTTTTCTTTCTCCCAGATGTTCAGGCGGTTGCTTATGAAGAACCAAAACACTGGTGCTCCATTGTCTACTATGAGCTCAACAATCGTGTGGGCGAAGCCTTCCATGCCTCCTCCACAAGTGTGCTGGTGGATGGTTTCACTGATCCTTCCAACAACAAGAACCGTTTCTGCCTTGGGCTGCTCTCCAACGTGAACCGGAATTCCACTATTGAAAACACAAGGCGGCATATCGGAAAAGGTGAGTTTCCACTTCTTTTGAATGTTTGTCTGCTGTGTGCTTGTTCTCCCAGAGCTGGCTTCTCTTGGCCTAGCACGCCAGCATCGCACACACCAGATAACTTCCACCTGCCGCAGCGTGCTGGGGATTTTCCACTTGGTATCGTCAGGAAGTTCTTTGCTTTCCAGTCAGTGGTCCTCTGGGTGACCGACTCACCCAAATGGGTATCAGTTGGCGGAAATAGAATGTGCTGTTTGGGAACACTGCTCTGTCTTAGGTGTGCTGCAGAAGAAAATAGCTGTTAAACAATGGCTTACAATCTAAAACTAAAAGCAAATTAAAAAAAAGTAAACCTAGAGTAAGTCAAGTCCATATCCTAGCTCACTGGAGGGAAGAAGCAATCCAGAGTAACTTGTGATGCAATATTTGGCGAGAGCCTCAGCCTGGGCCAGGTAGGTAGCATGATTGCAAACCGGTCCTGGACTCTCTCGTAGACTTGACTATGGAGTGGCAGTGCGAGTGTTGCAGTGATGAAACTTCCAGGTGTATGATGAGATTAAGCAAGTGGCTCAACATGTGAATGTGTGAATGGTGGAAGGGGCCTGCTGGGTCTTCACTGCAGGGCACGAGGCAGACAAGGCGTGGGCAGCCGTGAAAGCTGAGGGGTATCAGTGTGGACCGTGACGGACACACATGCAGTGACTGTGTGTGCATCCGCGTCTGCGTGTACCTGTCCTTGCACATGGGCCTGTCTGCCGAAGGGTGGAGGCCCAGGTACCCAGCTGCACGTTCAGTGCTGATGATCACGTCTCGCTTCTCACTGAGAGGAGCCTGGGCTCCATGGGGAAAGGCTGACACCAGCACCAGAACTTCACTAAATCAGAAATTGAAGAAGAGCTTATGCAAGGGTTGGGGGCATACGTGGCGGCCGCTTGGAGGGGCTGCCACCTGCCGCCTCGGGGGAGAATTAAATAACCGCTCTTGCCTTTTGCAACCGTCGCTGAAGCAGCGGCCAGAGGAAATTCAGTGCCTTTATGACATCTGACCGGAGCTGGAACTTTAAAAGCACCACAGCGCACCTTCCCAGATGCATAGGAACACCGTGTCTCCCCCTCTTCCCAGAGAACCGTGACAGAAGTACAGCGCCCAGCCCAGACCCGCCGGGAAGGACAACGGAGGTCAGGTTGTCCCAGGACATGACCGAGGCAGCAAGTGGGCAGAGTGGCCCGGTTACAGGGAGAAGCAAGGCCCTTATGCGGAGGGGGAGAAGCGAGCGGCTTGGCCTCTCGTGGGGACCTTCACCCCCTTCAGCAAGGGGGTCACCACTGGTCTAAAGCTGGACAGAGACCACAGCAAGTAGGAAAGGAAAAGGGCAACTCCAAGGAAGAAACAGTGAGAAATGCGGGTGCAGTGTTCTCACAGATGCTTTCATTTGCAGCTGCTCAAAGCAGTTGTAACCAAGTAACACGTAAAACCTAAAATCACACTCAGGTAGAACACAGGCAGGAATAAGGTGACCTCGAGACTGGAAGAAGCAGTTCCCAGGGAGCAGCCTGCTGGGGCGTCCCTCTCCACTCAGGGCGCCTGCCGCCCCTAAACCCGCTACTTGGAGCAAACATCGACACCGTTTGCACTTCTCTCCATTTGTTGTAAAAACAAAAATCCTCTTCAGGTATCTTCTGTTAGTGAAAACAGGTAGTAACGTAGGTCTCCTAAAAAGGCACAGCAGAGGCCCTCCCTGGTGGTGCAGCCGGTTAAAGCGCAGCACTGAGAAGCTAAAGCCGCTTTGGCATGAGTTCGATCCCCACTTGGGAGGTGACCCACAGGGCGCGGCAGACCTCTCCTGACCCGCCCGCTGCTCCCCTCAGCAGTGTGCTTCGTCAGTTGGCCTGTTGTGCTCCCCACTGTCTCTGGTGAATCCTCTTGCCACCCCCGCACCTCTGGCTCGTACCCCAGCTCTGTATGCATAAATAAATCTTTAAAAAAAAAAAGAAAACACAGCGGAGTCTTGGCAGCACGGAGACTATGGCTCTAGCTGAGAACATCTCTGTTACTGGGAACTGCTCAGGCTCGTAGGGAGGGCAAAGGGCCGTGATGAATGGTGCTGGAAGAGATCATACATTATAGGTGTCTGTAGACCTGAGATCTGTGCCATGCACCCATTTAAAACAATCCCGTGTAGAATACGTACACAAGCACACACGTGTGCCTGCGTGTTTCGCGTTCAGGAGGGCAGGTGTGGAGGGAGGGGCCGGAGGGTGCCACTGAAGTGGATTGTTACAGTGGAGGAAGCTGGATGACACTTACGTGGCTGCCATTTGTTTTGGTTTTCCTTGTTGTTTGTTCTATTTTAAACTTTTTGGTAAGTTTGAAATTATCTCCAAAGTTTCAAAAAGCAACCTACTAGGAAATTTAAAACAGTGAATCAAACTAAAAGGGTTTTTAAATAGATGTTTGAAAGCCATTTGAGATAAAGTTCAGCATTTACACATCCTGAAAAAAAAAAACAAAAAGACAGGAAGTTCCTTCAGATGACGAAGAATAAATCTAAGCTGCTATTGATAATGAGGTGCTAGAAGGTACATACCATGCAGACAGCTCTCTGGGGTCTATGGACCCTTGAAACTGTACGGAAGCGTAATTTTCGATACAGTGAGTCGTAGATGTGGCCATTACTCCAAAGCAGTTAAGAGCTGTTGTATTCTGGAACATTCCTTTTGAAAAATAGGGAGAGAGTAAGGATTCTGGGAACACTGTTATTTAAAATTATTCCTGATGCCCGACACTACAGCCTGTTGCCGAATTGTAGATCATGGAAGGAAGCCAAAATTAACTGTCATTTTCAGATGCTGTGATTAACTAATTTGTAATATTACGTAAATTCTTAAAGCTAGGAGGTCAGAAGCTCCAGAAAGCTCTTCTTAATTCCACCGTGCAGTAAGGTCTGAGTGCCTCTCCTCCTTCACCCACATCAGCGTTACTTGTGGCAAACATTATGACGGTTTGTCTAGAAACCTCTGGATAATCTATTTTTAGAAGCCATAGCTCAGTTGCCTTTAATCTGGCATAGTCAGGAAATACTGTGGAAAGGAAAGTGACTTTCTTAGTAGTAAAAGAAGATGTAAATTTCTCAGCAGTAATCTAACCCAGCAATATGTGAGAATTATGTAAAAGAAAAAAGAAAAACCCAATTTTACTGTGAAATAATTTGAATAAATTAATAGGCCGTCAGTGTTCTTTTAAAGAGAAAACATAATACTGTGAGAACATTTTCAGTACATTACTTCATTCTAATTTAATCTATGATTTAAAACAATCCATGTCAAAATCATAACGCAGTGTTTTTTGAAAGTTGGAAAATGTTTTCATTTGGATGGATAAACAAATCAAAACAGCTAAAATTTTTAATGAAAGAGATAAACGATCTTAGCATTGGGCTTAATAAAAGATCATGAAACAGCAGTTAAGTCAGCATGTAGACAAAACAATAGAATGAATTAAACTCAGACCGTCCTGTATTTAAGATTTGAAAGTGTGCTAGTGAAGCCTGAGAGATCAGTCAACTGTTCTAATGGCTCTTCGTAACCAAATGAGCTTTGGGGTGCAGCTGAGGGGAGCAACCCTGACCCCATTCCATATATGCAATTAGATTAATAAATTGAATTTTTTTTTCTTAAAAGCAGGCTATTAAAAAGCTAGAAGAAAATACATTTGATCAAAGAGGAAGAAATTTTTTAAGCATCAGAAAAGGTCCTAAGAGATTTGACAGACTTAAAGATATCAAATTTCTATAGGCTTAACCAAAATACCATGAACAAAACGAAAAGACAAAGGATTAACAGGGAACCAAATAAATAATTTATACCTTTCCTCTATGCACAACTCATTAAAATATAATAAAAGTACTGGCAACCCAGTGGGCTAACAGGAACGGTCACTTCACAAGAGAGACATGGCAACTTGGTCTCTGAGCTGGTATCCAGGCCCCTCCACAAATCAGGGTCTTTTTCAGCTATAAATTAGGGAGACTTGGTTTTTGGTTTTGATTCAGACTCTAGCGTGAGTGACATGCGTGATGCTGGTGAACGTGTAAATTGAGACAGGCTTTCTGCAAGAGGCTTGGCACAGGGATGGAACAGCCTCCCGATCTCGTGATCTGACTTCCAGGAATCTCTTCTAAGGACATCCGAAGTAATCCAGAGACGTTTACCGTGGCTGGCTTTTTTGTAACAGCAGAAAGTTAGTAATGGAGTCTTTCAGGAATTCACTGTGACTGTACGGCGGTGTGGTCATATTCGGTGTCTGACAAGAAAGCTTTGGAACAGTCGAGACCAAAGCAATAGGTCGGGTGATTGGGGTCCTCACCTCTACGCCACTAAAGAAAGGGGTGATGATGTTTTCTGCTTCTTTGCATTTTGTTGTACTTTCTAAATTTTGTCAAATGGAAGTTCTCTCCGGGGGAGACGTTTCTCTCCCTCACACTCTCTCAAATTGTGACCCCCTACACAAAACAGAAAATTGGGCTGCAGCCCCAGCAGCTGTTTCTCTGCTGCTGAGCTCGTAGCCACGTGCAGCTAAGCCACAGCACATGTTTCTGAGAGACAGTCACGTCAGCGCTGACTGGGCCCTGCCGAGGTTACCTGCGAGGTGCACTTTTTAAAGCCACCTGGGAGGCAGTGGTTTGCTGGGTGGCCCGGAATAAAGTCATCTTCTTTGGTGGGTGGGGGCTTTGTCAAAATAGTTTCCCCTCTTTCCTTTTTTTTTAAAGTCTGGGTAGGTTGGTTTGCTGCGCTCTTGGCGCTCTGCACCTTGCCGGGGAGTTTGGGAGCAGATGGTGGTTCTGTGAATTGTTCTTCTAGTTTCTTTTTTTTCTTTTTGTATTTAAAGAGCAGGTTTATTAGGGAAAAGGACAGTGGAGTAAAGGACACTTACATAGGTACAAGCAGGCAGGAAGAGCTGCCCCAGAAGTCCCCAGAAGTCTGAGACGGGTTTGCTGAGAGCGGCCTCATGCTTGCAGGCAGGCAGCCTTAGGAGAGCGGCTTCTGCTGAGGGAGGTCAGGGCAGAGAAGCCCTGGCCAGTGCAGGTCATGGGCAGACAGGAGGCCGCTGCCCTGTGGAGGGAGGGGGGGGTAGGAAGAAGCGCCTGCCTAGGCACAGGTGGGCAGAGGATGGCTGCGGGCTTTCTATTTCTTTATCCTGGATCTTACAACTCTCAGAACTATTTCCTCCCCCTGTAGCTTCCTCGCTCTTTGCTTTCTTTTCTCAACCCTGCCCTCTCCTACCCCAAAATACTTAGCTGCAAAGTAAGTGTGAGGGCTTGTATGGATCCGCATAGGGATTGCGTCATAAAGGCAGCTTCATTTTGCTGCATTTTAAGGTCGGAATCTATACTTTGCATCCATAGTCAAATAGGACATTGAACAAATGAAATCGCTGTGGTTTGTTGCTGATTTCTTATTTCCTAGAAGCCTAGACGTGCATGAAGGGCATTGTATTAACTAATCCGGTTAACTGAGGTTCCTTTCAATTTTACAAGTCTCTAGGAAAACCAATTTCTTTAATTAGCCAGCGTTTGAATTCAGTTAAGTTTATAAATTGAAGCTACCCAGATACTTTTCAGCTGCCAACGACAGTATTTTCAAGCAGTAACGCCTTGAATCCCATGCCCTGTCTTCCTGCAGGCGTGCACCTGTATTACGTTGGAGGGGAGGTATATGCCGAGTGCCTCAGTGACAGCAGCATCTTTGTACAAAGTCGAAACTGCAACTATCATCACGGATTTCACCCCACGACAGTTTGCAAGATCCCCAGTGGGTGTAGTTTGAAAATTTTTAACAACCAGGAATTCGCGCAGTTATTGGCGCAGTCGGTGAACCACGGCTTCGAGACGGTCTACGAGCTCACAAAAATGTGTACTATACGAATGAGCTTCGTGAAGGTGGGTGAGCTGGGGTTCCTCCCTTTGGGTTTATCACTCTTTGGCCAGGCTTCCTCCCAGCATATCGACCTATGTCCTCGTAAGAGGTGTCCGTGCAAGTCAGCTTATTACCCTGGTACTAATAACTTTAACCGGGATATTGATTGGTGAAGAGACTGTCACTTGCCTATAGACGTATTTGTTTAAAACATCAATAGCTTTAACGTCTTAGTGACATAACACCATCTCAGCCGTTATAATGCCCTTGAATATGGTCTGTCATATAGTTAGCATGATTTTTTCCCCCACCCTCCACTAAACCACCTAGACCCCATCTGCCTCTGCCGTCTCAGAGGTGGGGGAGGGAGGCAGGTAGGATAGATGACGTGATGGCGTCGCTGTCGCAGGTCAGCTCAGAGGACACAGCTCACTCCGTTGGCGCTGCTGTTGGTGCTTTTCTGATGGTTAGTATGCATTTGCTTGTGTTCGACAACATGCAAGTGATCTTTATGTAAAAACAAAGGTTCAGGCTGCTAACACTTATGTTTGATTGGTCAGGTTTTTCTAGTGGTTCCAGGAAACCTCATGATATTCTCATAATTCAGAAGTGAATAGGGCTCCTGCCTGGAGACAAGAGGCGGCCCAAGCGCCAGATTGTGTTGTGAGACTGGAGGAGAGGCGAAGGCTAAAGACCTCAGGCTCCTCTTCTGCTTCCGAGAAACGCACATTTTTGACGATGTCATTGAAAGATATATTTGTAAAAAGTTAAATGTCTGGCTGGATTTCACGAGTCAGTAACTTGCTCTAGTCCCTGGCTGACTTGTCTGAGTTCTCAAAGATAAATGCTCATGCTCTGTTACCTTGAGAAACAAAACTAATTATCCATCTGGGCGAGGCAGGCCCCTTTCATGCGCTCTCTGGAGAAGCTCATCTGACTTGTCGTGAAACCTGTTTTGTAATGTATTTATTACAGAGGGTAATTTTGGAGCTTTACTTCGTTAATCACCCTTTAGATCAAAGATGTCGTCTCCCAAATAGCACTTTTTCCTCCTGTTTCAATCGTATCATCATCTCTTCACTGTATTCTCCTAGTGTTTGTTTTCTCAAAATAGTTGTTCTTTGTAGCTGAGCCTAGTACGTTTTTTAGCATGAACGGAGGCTCTGTACCTTTTAGAAGAGTGGCCTCTATGTCCTCACCTTTCTCTTGCATTACCACCTAAGGCTTAATTTCTGACTGAGCCTTCTAAGGGAAATAATCTTGAAATGAGGACATCCACTTGTCAGCAGCATGTTTGGGGTTTTGGTTTTTATGGAGCTAATAATCCCTCTTTTGAGAGCTGAGACCCAGCTTCTAGTCTTGTCTGCCACTGAACCCCCACACTCCCCGTCTCCGAAATGGGTGGTGGGTGGACGACGTTGCTGGCTGCAGCTGTCTGTGCTCAGGTCCCGCCACGCACCTGTTCTTACTGCAGGGCCGCTCGGCTCCAGAAGAGTTAGTGACTGTCGCTCCAGTCGGCTTTCTCCTCAGATGCGCCCTGTGCCAGTTACCCAGTCAATTCTAATGATTTCTCACTTGGGCACAATTGTAATTATTTAGTTTGACATAAGAAAAAAACAGCCATTATACTAATAAAAAGTATAGCACAAGGATATGCGTTTAACATTAATTAGATCTCGTTCCCTCAGCAAGTCGTTTAGCAAACTGTTCCAGAGGTGCCATACAAAGGTGAAGACACCCTGAAGTCTCTAGCTTCAAGGTGCTTGCGGACTAGTATGTCTTAAGTGTGCTGTTGATGGCAAGTACTGGAATGGAGGGTTATGCGAGACGCAGTAGATGTCGCTGGCTAGAAAGCTGGATTTGGAGAATTAAGGATGAACACATCTTCTATTAAAAACTGCTGCTGATATGATAAAGGGAAGCTGCTTATCCTATATTAATAATAAAAAAATGTGCACACTGACATTCAGCGACAACTATCTTGCACACTCAACATTATTCTTTTAAGGATGACATACTTTATCCTTTCTTTGCATCTTTAGAGAAATGAGACAGAACATCTTACTGACAGTAGTAGACAATCTTGTATTAGTTTAAAGGTGATCATTTTTAATATTAATATAAAACACTTTAATAAGTTATTTGCAAAGTAAATTCTCTCGATATGAACAATCCAATGAGTTCAGCTGAACTGGAGCTCTGCTTTGCCGTAGTCACCATGTTGGACGGTAGAGACCAGAAATAAATGAACCCCACCTTGCCTTCGAAGACCTCAGTGTCTACTGGAGGACACGTGCCCGTATGCACACCTGGGAATCAAACTTCACAGCTTGTTGTAACTGTCACAGATGTGCACACACGGCTGTACAGACATGTGCACGCACATGGATGTACATCAGGTGTATGTACATAACGGACATAAATGGAGGCACATATATATCTGTGAGAACTTTAAAGAGAAAGTTGTCAGATACATTCTTGAAATTCCTAGAGCAGGTAGGATAACTAATACCCAGCCTTCTCTGATAGAGCTCATGAAACAAGGTGTGTCAGAACTTCACATCCCATTGTCCACCATACCAAGAAGTTTTTAATACATTAACTTTCTCTTTTGTCTCATGACTTTCTTCTATGGAATTTTAGTAGCCTCATCAGTAATTCTGCAGACGCCTGCAAGCTGTCTCCTCATGCTTCTTATGCAAATGCATAGTGAGTGGGATCTGGTGGTCAAGACAGTGACTTGATGTCATTTATAGCTTTTTGGATACTCGATTGGCTGAATAGGGAAGAAGTGTCACTTTGTCTGGCATCCCTTTTTTCTTAGGTTCTTGATACTGATTGGTATTGATAAAGTGAGCATCGCTATTACTGCATGATCAGTATTACTGGGCTATAAATAATGTAATAAGCAACAAAAATGAAAGTATTAAAACACTCCTATCCCATATTTTAAAACTTTCCCAAGACAGGGACCTTTATTATTACTATTATCCTTTCTCTTGTTCACGTTTGTGAGGCATTTCAGAAACTAGGCAGTACTCCCAATCCAGACATGGACTTTAGGGAGCTGGGCGCACCCTCCCCCTGACATCGCCTGCCAAATTGTGTGTGCATTTCTACGTGTGAATGTTTGTTTCTGGAGAGCACCCAGAGCGTAAATCAGAGGGTCCAATTATAAAAGAGTCCACTCTCTTGGTAATTTTTCTTTACTGAGTTAAGCGACTTCTGTGACCTCCACTGTGTTGTTTCCAGGGCTGGGGAGCAGAATACCACCGCCAGGATGTCACTAGCACCCCCTGCTGGATTGAGATCCATCTGCACGGCCCCCTGCAATGGCTGGATAAAGTTCTCACTCAGATGGGTTCACCTCATAACCCCATTTCATCTGTGTCTTAAACGGCCTCAGGCTTCTGCCTCTTGCAAACTATTGAGCCTTGCACGTACTTGAAGGATGGGTGAGTCAGATGCGGTGAGAACTGACAAAGGAGCCTTGAGAATACTTGACCTCTGTGACCAACTGTTGGACTCAGAAATTTAAAACAAAATCGAAGAAAAAGCCTTTGGTGAAATACTGTTGATACCAAGAACCTGTTAGTTTACATTGTAGCATTCTGTTGTAAATCGGCTGAAATGCGACCGTTTCGCAGGACTCTGCGCACAGGGTAGAGCAGAGACGGATGGCCACGCCAGGGACAAATCAGCTATGGGGAGTCCTAAGAGCTTCTTGTTTGGCACTTTAAGGTCATCGTTGGGCAGAAGTTCAGCATTAATGGTCTTTCTGATGTGTGTTTTTATCGGGTAAAGCCTGTGCAGCGTCTCCTCATGGGTTTTCATAATATTTTGCAACTGTTTGTTTAGTCATGGGGGATTTTTTTTTGTTGTTGTTTTTAAGTAATGGTTAAGCTGAATGAAATACATGGTAATCTTTCTAAAATTGTATGCTGACCATACTGCTGTCAGAATAATGTTAGGCATATGCTCTTTGCTAAATATATATGTACAGAATATTTGGAAGTTAGGAATTGACTAGACTAGTGGCTTTAGTATGGGGGGGCGGGAGGTAGGGAAATGACAACTGCAAATGTAGAATATACTGTAAAAATTCAGTTTTTTGCTTTAAAAAAACTGATGTCTGAATTTTGCTGTGTTTCAGTTTTTTAGAGATTTTATCCTACTTTTTTTTTTTTTTTTTTTTTGCATCTCTTATCCATCCTCTAAAAAAGCAGTTATGCAGCTGGTTAATTCATGTAACTGTGAGAGCAAATGAATAATTCCTGCTATTCTGAAATTGACTGTCTATGTGTTTTAATATCAATTGTATGGAGTGCTTGAATTTACTAAGCAGTTTTTATGGAGTTTACAGTACAGAATAGGCTTTAATTTTCAAATAAATTGTTTGCCAAACCTAGTAACTGTTAAATATTTGGAGGATTTAAAGAACATCTCTGTTTAAATCCATTTCAGACTTTTTTAATTCTTTTGTACTATGTTTGGTTTTATTTTCTTCTGCTAATCTTTTATATTCACTTATGCCCTCGTACAGAGTACTTTTATTCCAAAACTAGTGGGTTTTCTCTACTGGAAATTTTAAATAAACCTGTCATTATTGCGTACTTTGATCACACATCTGTTGCTTCCTTTCTTCATACACTAGATTGATGATCCAGGAGACCTGATACCTTTTTTTAGGGTTTTTCTTTGCTGAGTGTCACAAACTAAATTAGAGACAGGGAGATGGAGTCATGACAAGAATCGCTTTAATCAGAGAAGAAGGGACATGGGGAACTAAAAAAATAAGGAAAACTAGCTAGCGGAATCGACAGGCACACACACTCTGACGTGAGGAAGGACGGCAGCAAGCAGTCAGCTGGAAGTGCCAGGTCCTGGACTTCAGTGGAGGCCGCAAGTGAGTGACGACGGAAGGTGCAATACTGAGGGGACAGTGAGAACTCTAAGTGCAAGTAAGTGCGGTGAGCAGAAGTGGCCACTTCTGCAGTGTACCTGCGCTGGGGTGAGCCCTCCCCTCCCCTCCCCACACCCCACCCCCACTCACACAGGCCACCTGTAAAGGTGCACTTTGATACCTTTTCCCCAGAGCTACGTACAACCCATTATTCCCCAAACCTCTGAGCAGGCAGAAGTTTCTGTAATTTGAAGGGTGACAGCACAGAGCTGTGTGTTCTTCATGAACATTAATTCTGAGTCCTCGGTGTCTTTTAAATGCCTATGCCTGGAAGTTTGGGAGGCTATCAGAATTTCCACCTCAGTTTATAGGGTTTTTGATTGTCAGGGTGTGGGGATTTGGGAGGGGAATAATCCGCCTTCCCTCTGGGTTCATGTTGGGCCAGAGGAGAAAGCCAGTTGCATCATCAAACAGGTGAGCAGAGAGAAATCAGTCTAATAACACAGAAAATGGACATGGTTGCAAATCCTAAAGAATCATGGAGCAGAGCGGGGTGTTTCATCAGTGCTTACCTGGGGCACCAAGAACAGGGGTGACACGACATGATGGGGGGTGACCCAACTTTGCTTAGGAAAAGGGGGAGCCCAAAAATGCTGGGGCTTTATGGCTGTTTATAACTCAATCTGCATTCTCTAAATCATGGTAATAGGCTTCCTGACTCTCAGGTGATCTTTACTTCCTATTTGTGTTACTTACCTACTGGGCTTGTTAAGAAGAGCATGCCTGACCCTTTGGGGTGGGGGTGGGAGGCAGTCTCACGACACAATTAAATCAAGTAGGAGCTCAAGAACAGAAATAGGTGTGGGGGAAGGGAATGGCTGCTGAAATAACGTTGGATACAAACTCCCCAGAGATTTTTTGTTTCAGGTTAGGGGGCTAAATGCATCTCCAGATATTGCCACGTCAGCAAGAATGTGACCCTCACATGCGCACACCCAGCAAACTGAGTGAATTGAAGGTCACAGAGAATAGAGGTGAAGAATATGGTAACAAGGCCTTTTCATATGACCCAGAAACTCCAGTATATGTGGGCAAGACCCCCTCATTCTCGAAAGACTGGCTTTCTAGCAGCAGATCAAAGAAGGGCAGATCTCCGAAAAGCTCCTCACCCATTGCCAGCTTTACGGACTTGTGCACTTGATACGTTAGTGTATTTCCTGGCTGCGACCAGCCGGCCGTACAGAACAGTCCGTGTTTCTTAATTGTCTTTCATGTGTGTTGCCCACATGGGCCCTACAGCATTTTCTTCTACCAGCAGGACTTCCTAAAACATAATTGGCCGAGTGCTTTGCAAACTACTGTAGCAGCGTCGGGTGTTGTTGCTGTGAGTGGAGGGTGGCCGCTGGCGGGGATGGTAACTGGTCTCCTTGTAACATGTTCATCTCTTTCTTCTGGGGGCGCTGAAATGTTTATTGTTTATTGAGTCTGATGCCTGTGGAGCAAGTCCAGTGGGTTTTAAGTCAATCGTCCCCAAAAAGGGTGCTCGAGGGAACCCCTGAGGCGTGCAGTGTCCCAGCTCGAGAGCTGGAAGCCTCATTAACCCATCTGGAGGCCCAGAGCTGGCAACCCAAAGGCCGTCATCCATTCCAGTCCTTATGGGGCAGGGCAATGAGCCAGCCAGGCCCTCTGGGAAGCGTGGGGGATGAAGGGGCATTTCTTTAAGGAATCCTGTAGGGAAAGCTGGCAATTTGCAAATCTCCTCACTTCTAGATCTGAAAAGTAAAGCAATGCAGCATTTTATCTCTAACCAGACAGTCACTTTTGAAAAGGGAAAAGAAATTAAACAGAGCCAGGTTATTCCTCAGGACCAAATATGGGATGGGAACTCTGGGAAGACAATGTTCTCTGTCCCTTGCTCTGAGATCAGACAGACTGGAGCATACAGTTGGCCCACGTCTCTCCAGCCCAGCCCATGTGGATGTGCTGGGGGCTGACTTGTGCGCTCTGGCCTAGTCTGTGAACAGCTGCACCATCGTGTTCTTGCTGTGGCATCGGGGCTTCAGCCTCACTACCTGGGAAATAATAGTCCGGTAAGCTGCCGGGAGGAGATGTTGGTATGAGGCACGCTTGGCACCAAGCCAGACAAACAGTAAGTGCTGGATAGTGGCTCGATTGCAACAGAGGTGATGAGTTAGCAGGCTTCAGAAATACCGTGAGCCCTCAATAAAACGAGGCAGTAGGGTTCTTCTGTCTCCGGGATATGGCAGGTCATCTGAAACCCACAACTTTGTGAAAATCCCACAGCAATAAGCACAATAGGTCCAAGGAAATGCAGTGAGTCTGCCTAAGCCGAAAAAAAAAAAAAAAAAAAAAGAAAAAAGGCCATGCCCCAGTGTGGCAGAATAACGCTAATAAAACATCAATCGTGTCCCTTTTCCCCAATGCTGCCAAGTCCGTCCCAAGAATCTTGACGTGGCCATATTGCAAGTTTTAGCCTGTTTAATAAATCATTTCGTTCAGGGTGTTTAATTATTGATCTCCCCCTACTTTATAGATTCACTGCCTGTTAGGACATCTCCTGCCCTTGTGATCCCCAGTGTTAATGTCAGCTCTATGCCTGGTTCCAGCCTGGGTCACCCGGCCTTGCCTGTTGTTGCCACATGGCTCAGAGCTGTTCCTCCCACCCAGGCTTAGCGTGCTGTAGCCCCCAAGACCCCAGCTCCCTTTCGTAAGTTCACCCCGATTCTACTTCCCCGTTCCCTCCTGCAGGGTTTGCTTGCAGGGGCTGCCACCACCTACCTCGGCCCATCTCTCCTGTGGCCTTCCCCAATTCTTCCCACAGATTCTTTTTTTTTAAAAAAAGATTTATTTATCCATACAGAACTCGGGTACAGGCCAGAGGTGCGGGGGGGTAGGGGGGTGAGAGAATTCACCACAAACAGCCGAACAGGCAGATCGATGAAGTGCATTGCTGAGGGGAGCAGCAGGTGAGACAGGAGAGGTCTGCCGCGCCATGTGGGTCACCTCAGGGTGGGGATCGAACTGGTGCCAAGGCGGCTGTGGCCAGCTTGCAGTGCTGCACCTTAACCCACTGCGCCATCAGGGAGGGCCCAGATTCTTATTTATCCCTTGAGTGTAACTTTGTCTCCTCTGGACAGGACATCAGAGGCTCCTGATCTACTTCTGGACGTGTGTTATTCCTTTCTGGGTGAACTGGCAGCCACTTGCCCTGGGTGTCTGCCTAAATACACAGCAGATTCTCCCGTGACCGGTCACCATATATTAATAACTCATTTGTAGCTAGTGAAATCCATGAACTCTTCCTCCCAACTCTCCTGCTCCACTCTCTCCCCCGAACACAATTCTGCTCATGCTCGCCTAAAGGCGTTTAGAAACTTTCACCCGTGTAGGTGGTCACGAGAGGAAGGAGACACGCTAAGCCAGTGTAATTCTATGTAAGAATAAGGCCAAATGGAACGCCACTAAGAAATTTCTCTGAAATGCATCATGTGACAATAACACTTGAAATGTCATCTCAGCGGGTCACAACGTTGATCTGGCTTGACAGTGGTGGAGGTTTTTCCTGTATTTCAGTCTTGTTTCCAGGGGATTGGGAGCAGGACCTAGAGAGGAAGA